ACAATTTCCCTATCAACATTTTTCGTACTAAATTCACATAGTTTCTTTGGCAGTGAATACCACTTGAACATAACCAACATTTCCCAAAAAATAAATATACAATAATGTAAAACAAAATGTTCCTCCATACATTCTCTGCAGTCACCTGAAGTAAAACATTGTCAACGCAGCTCTTTCTTTGACATGGACATCGATTGGTTCCTCCTCCCATTACAACAAGAACATGTCGACCAACACTTTGATGCTTGTTCAGGTCATGAGTACGAATTTGTACATAGGCCGTCATACATCAATAAAATGAGTATTCTGAGACAAAGTACGTAGAAAGCAAGGTGAAGAAATATAATACCATTCAGGTCCATGCTATCTTTATCGATCACCTCACAAAATAACAAAACGTTTGATAGAATTTCAGAATGGTGTGTAGAGTTTGTGATTCAATCCATTTACATTATAAACTGTATCGAAGTAGAATTTTATTGCATCTAGTACGAGCTCAATAAGTGTAATTATACATCAGGTTCCAAATTTCTCGGCATTTAAGTTTTTAAATGCAATTGTACTGCCGAAGTTACCAAAACAAAAAGAATTGCTCACTTATTTTTTCCCTTTCTTTGCAATCTCCCTCATGTACGGAGTCCTAGTAGACAGTGCATGACGTCGTAGACGTGCATATCACATCATCTTTGAGATAAGTGGCGTATCGCTGGGTACGACTGTGGTGGCCTCCATCGGCATTTCACTCGCACCGCCTACAAAATATTACAAAGGGCCCTAAACATTTAACCAAAATTTTTACTACTAACCGTAATTAATCAGATCAAAATTTTCACACAAGAAACTTACGTCCCCCTCCGCCATGCCACTAGCGGAAGCAATTGAGTCTTGCTCAATGTTTCCCATACCAGCATAGGGAACTTCCTCGTCATCACCGTCTCCCGAACTAACACAAACTTTCTTGTCGTCAATGTCTCTGGAACAAGAGATTCGAAATTCATATCTGCAAAGACAAAATAAGAAATGAATGCGTCAGACCATAATATAATATTTCTAGTCGCATATAGACCAAAAACCACAAGTATGCTATGAAGTGTCTATCAAGAGTTCTACCCGAATACAACGAGTACCACACACAACAAGTGGATTGCAAGTGAAAGCAAGATTATGACACATGTAACATAAACATTGAAACGAAAGATATGTCAAGTGTCAATTAAGATTTTCACCAAATGCATACGACGAGTATCACCCATATTAATTCAAGTCACCCTTTACGAATTTACTTATGTAAGATCGAAATTAATGCGAAACACGCTGAGTTGAGGTAAAGACTGAATTGTCGTTCTCGACAGTTAGCCTCAGTAATTCTCGATAGAAGAACTTGTTAATAGATAAAATATCGAAAACGAAACATTAAATCCACAAATATGTTATCAAGTGTCTATCAAGAGTTATGGTGTTTCCTCTCTGATTTTCCAGCTGACCTAGTTAATTTCCTTCTTCTTTTCGGGGGAGAAAAAAAGAAGAAAACTGAAAATAAACAAAAGTCTAATTGTAAACTTGTAATATTCACATTTTTAATAGTTATATTAAAATACTATATATAGTGAAGAGACATTTATTCTTACTTATAATTAATCTTCTACTATTAACTAATAGGGGCTTGACCATTGTTTGTTGATTAGGAAGTGCAAGAAGTTCATTTACATTACAGACATCTCATTGCACACCAAAATTTGTGAGGTCACAAGGATATTTCGCTAGATTTCATGATATCATTTATAAGAAAATAAAGATAAAAATTACAACGAACTTGCAATCAAATCAACATTTCTATCTTCCCACCATCAACGGAAAAAATTTCATGAATCAAGATAATCTCTTTTCGAATCACAATATTCTTTTCCTTAAGGGAACACGAAAATATCGAAATTAAGTAAAAAAAAAATAAAAATAAAAAAATAAAAATAAACATACCAAAAATTAGATATTGATCTGCAACAATTCTCCTAAGCTTAAGTAGATTTCTTATAATTTCAATAAAATGTACATAGGTTGAGGGCTTCAGCATGGCTGCCAAAGTAAATTGTATGAACTTTTTAGGCCAACAAACCTGCACAAAATAGATATTTTGGCAATCACAGACGATCTTGAGCGAGAGAGGAAATTGAGAGTCGTTTAGGTTTAGGGCTTTAGTTGCTATATGAATGAATATTTTTACCTTATTAGGTTTCATATTGTTTTTGTTTTTTTTCCCTGTAAGTAGTGAGATGGGAGCTTTTGATGTGTTGCAAATTAACTTTTTGTACTATTCTTTCATCTAATCAAATCAATTGTAATTAAGGACATCCAAGGTCTTTCAATTTTTTTGAGGGCCATAAAAGTCATAAAGTAATAGTTTGGTCAAAACTATTAAAATGTAATATTTTTGTAAATGTAAACCCAAAAAATGACATCTAGTGTAATTCTCACTTTTTTTTTTATTAATCTCCCTATTTTTAAGTTGTTAATAATCTCTTAACTTGGATAGAGAGAATAAAAATAAACAATAACTTATTTCTTTATCTTGACCACATCGATACGACTCTAGTAAAATAAATTAGACAACAATAAAAATTTCCCAAAGAAAATAATTAAAATCTTGAATCTTATCTCGCACAAATTTTTAGCACCATTGGTAGACCCACAAAGAAGTAGTATTACACTCGAAAGTCAGTCTCATTTAGCGCTATTTTTGTCAACTTGCCTGGACTTCGGCCCCAAACCTGGTTCAATAAAAAGCCCAGTACGTCAAAAATCTACAATTCACATAATCAGAAATTAGGGCATTTATTTGTTTCACTTCACTTCCTGGTTCACACATTCTGATTCAGAGGTACGTAATTTGTCCTCCATTTTTTCTGGTGAATTCATTTATTTTGGCTTCATATGTTACCGAAATAAATTGAAAAGGTTTTTCGCACAGTATTATGGTCTTTACTCTGTGTTCGTGTGTATATTTATTATTATTTTTAAACCTATGTGAATGAATCAAATGCCGTAAATTAGGCATGAAAATGGATTTTGAACTGCTCCTGATGCTAAATTTGTTGCTTTTGTTTTAAAGTAACATGGTTCAATTCTAAATTCTTTCTTGTGGGATGGGGCACCTTTCTTTTCGTTACTTGTTAAGAAAGGCACTCTGATAAGTGCTGACAGAGGCTTTCTTTCTTTTTTAATTTATCTTATGAAGTTTTTGGTTTTTGGTTATAATATTTGTCATCTGCTAATTTAGCAAGTCGTGACTTGGATGTATATGGTTATCGATGCAAAATTAGCTGTGCTTGAGATCTTAAATCATTAGCTGTAATACATCAAGCTCTAAATGCCTAAAACATCATTCTTTCATCATGTAGTTCAGTAATTGTGCTTGAAATGTAGTATACTTGAGATTAAGTTGTTTTGTTATGAAATAATAGGCAAATCTAACTTGAGAATGAATTGCCATATGTAATAGAAGGACTATTGAATTTTCAATATTTCCATTCTCATCAATTAAATTGCTTAGATAATTAAATCGTTGAATACTGAATAGACAATTTTCTGCAACGAGCACTGTGAAGAATCGACTTTGCAATCGGACTGGGATTGATGGATGAGTGATAACTTAGCCCCTATTTGGTGGCCCTTAATTTACATTACCTTAATTTATTTCTCATACTCATTTTCTATGATGCACCGACATGTCCGACACGATACGTGTTGGACACATCGACTCGTGATTTTTTTAAAAAGTACCGACACGACACGTCGTCGATACGTTTATTAAATTCTTTAAAATTCTTCATTTATATAGTTTAAATTTAGTTTTATACTTATTATTGATTTTTTTTGTTGAAATCTTTTAAATATGAGTACTTATTTGTTATTTACTAATAATTTTAAGTTAAAAATATATAATAGCTATAGTAATAAAGAAAAAAATTATTGTAGAGTGTCCGAAGAGTGCTGGTATTCACACGTCTCCGACACGTGTCGGACACGAATACGCTGTTCTAGTTAGAATGTCCGTGCTACATAGCTCATTTTTAATCATACATTCACACAATAAAATATTTTACACGTAACCCTACAATTTTTTTCCTACTTTTTAACCTCGTATTATCCAAAAAAAAATAAAATACTACTCAAAATATAGTTTTCTTCAAATTAAAGGCCACCAAAAAGGGGCTTAGTTGTGTATCTTGGAAAAAGAAGTATTTGAAATTGATCATGAGGTTATAATATTGCATTTTTAAATATGAAAGACTGTTGTCAATTTTTATTTTTTAACAATTTTAATATAATTGTTATTGTTACGTTTGAAATTGGTTAGCTTTTCTCCTTATCCTTTAAGATTGAATTTCCTGGAATTTCTCTTGCCTAGATGCTTGTGAAACT